AAGTAAGACAGAAACAAAATTTCTAGTTGCGAGAATTCACTTAAAACTGTCTCCATGGCTGGGTATGGCTCACACCTGTCAACCTACCACTAGAAGCGCAAGGGGACTGTGTAATGGTGGCTAGCCTGGAGTACTTAGTGAATTCAAGTTCAGCCTAAGTTACAGGGTCTAAGGCCTTATCTCAAATACACCCTTTCAAAAATTTGGTGATAAATATGAGATCATATCTTGCCCACTCACTGATATTTTTGGCAACTAATCCTAAGGAAATAACCGGTGTACATAAAGATGTTCAGCATAGAGACATTTACTTTTATTTTAGACAGGATCTTTTGTTTCCCAGGCTAGCCTCTAACTTACTATGTAGAGGAGGATAACATTGAACTTCTGATCTTCCTGATTCTACCACCTGAGTGTTGTGATTACCAGGGTGTTGCCACTGGGTCAAACCCAGGGATTCACATGCTGGGCAATCACTACTCTCTGAATTGAGCTATATCCAGCCAGCAGTATAACAGCTGAAAACTTAAACAGCCAAAAATGAGTGGCTACTTTAAAGAATAGCTGTAATGGGGCTATATGATATGTAACTAAGCAGCAATTTTGTTGAATTATTCTTATAAAGAATGGGGTTTGGCAATGTGGCTCAGAGGTTAAGAGTACTTGCTGTTATTCCAGAGGACATAGGCTCAATTCTCAGTACTGACATACAGGCACACAACCATTTGTAACTTCAGTCCCAGGGGATCACCCTCTTCTATCTTCCATGGGCACCAGGCATGAACATGATGCACTGACATACAAGCAGACCAAACAACCAGGCAAATAAATAAATTTCAAATTTTTTAATGGAAAAATTGGGTTGCAGGTGTATTTCAGTGGTTGGAGTGCCTGCCTAAAATGTCTGTGGACCTATGTTCAATACGTAGCACCACAAAAAGAGGGAGTGGACTATCAAAATACCATTTTAAATGGAAAAGTAAGATATAATCTATATATGCAACATTTTCTCCACTTTATGTATATATGTATGTGTGTATTTGATAGTCAATTTTCATTGTCACCTTGACACAATCTAGATCTCTGATGATGTCTTTGATTGAGTTGAGTGAGAAGACCCATCCTGAATGTGAGCAGGGACCTTCACGGGCTGAGCTCTGAACTGAATGAAAAAGAGAGAGCCAGATGAGCACTGGCAGGAAAACATCAATCCATTGCTCTCTGCTCTTGACTGTGGGCGCAAATGTGACCAGTTCTGTCAAGCTCCTTGCAGTGGTTTGAATAAAAACTACCTCCATAGGCTCATATATTTGAATGCTTGACTAAGGGAATGGCATTATTTGAAAGGATTAGAAGGATTAGGTGTGGCCTTGATGAAGGAAGTGTGTCACTGGGAGTAAACTTGAGGTTTCAAAAGCCCATGCCAATCCCAGTGTCTCTGTGTGTGTGTTTCTGGCATGTGTTTTTGTGCCTGCCTTTGGGTATGTTCTCTCTCTCTCTCTCTCTCTCTCTCTCTCTCTCTCTCTCTCTCTCTGCCTGTGATCAGTATGTAACTCTCCACTACTGCTCTAACACCGTGCTTTCCATGTTTTCTACCATGATGATAATGGACTAAACTTCTGAAACTATAAGCAAGTCCCCTGTATTAAGCTTTGTTGTCAGCTGCCAGCTCACAAATAATGACACAGAGACTTCTAATTAATAATTATGAAAGCTCAGCCTTAGCTTAGGCTTGTCCCACTAGCTCTTATAACTTAAATTAACCCATTTACATTAATGTATGTTTTGCTTCATGGCTTTTTACTTTTCTTCCATTCTGTATGTCCGACTCACTCCATTTCTCATTGGTGTTTCATGCAGGCCTTGATTATCTCCTCCTCTTGCTCTCTCTGTGCCTGGAAGTGCCACCTATACCTCCTGCCTAGCTATTGACCGTTCTGTTCTTTGTTACACCAATCATAGCAATACATTTCCACACAGTGTATAAATGTCTCACAACACCCCCAATCAAATGCTTTCAATAGTTGCTGTGATCATGGTGTCTCTTTACAGTAATAGAACACTGACTAAGACACTCCTATTGCTATAACCTCCTTGCCAAGAAGTATGAACTTAATAACATTGCTTTTGTTATGGTATTTTATCATAGAAACAGGAAAGAAAAAACATTTTTCAATCTATATATTCACTATATATATATATATATTCACAATACACACATATATATATACATGTGTGCAAATATACACAATACACATATATGTATATGTTGCTTAGGCTACCTAATCCTCCCAAATAGGAGGTGTGACAGGACTACACTATACACTGAATTTGTATTCTCTTTATTATAAAGTTCTATGACAATTACCCACTATTTTACTGTCTTAGAAGAAAATTCACTAATGTTTGTTTCTTGATAGTAAATTGAATATGCTTTAATTTTCTTTGCCCTACTCCGGGGAGATTCTAATTTTTTTAGTGAACTTTATCAGAAAAAATAAAACCAGACATAATAGTGCACCCAGAAGACAGAGATAGGAGCACTATGAGTTTGGATTTAACATGGCAGAGAGGAAGAGAAATGATACGGATGTGGGTGGGTAGGTAGGTAGATAGATATTCTGTTGTCTCTCAACATAAAAGCATTCAGTAAATGGCTTAAGCAGTATTAATTTCAGGTTTTAGTGCCTTTTAGGCAGCAACAGTTAATACAAAACTCAGCTGTCACCAGAGAGAAATGTTTTAAATTGCCTTCCCAGTAGTAGGCCTCAATTTGTGCTCAGTGAAAACATGTCCCATGTCTGTCCTCAGAGTTGCTCCACTGTGCACATCCCCAAAAAAGACAAAAGCACTTTTGAATAATCAGACATAAGGTCACAGTAGTTTTTCAGTCAAATAAACCTTGAGAGTTTAGTGTCTTTAGAAGAAGGGACCTGGGTGCATGATGTAAGGTAGGCCAAAAGGGGAGTTTTGCTTCATTGGTTTTTCCGTTAAAGGTAAAATATTTAGATCTACATCAAAGAATAGATTCCTTCAAGCTCAGCATCAAGAAAAGCAAACACTCAGTGTGAGTGGGATAGGGATTAGAAGTGATAATGTTCCCACACCTAATCACTGAACTGAACTGGAATCCAGATGCAGAGAAGGACGAGTGAAGAGCAAACAGGTCCAGACAGGGCTGGTGAAACCCAAAGAACAGCTGACCTGAACATCGGGGGAATTCTTGCTCCCCAGACTGACAGCTGGGATAGCAGCCTGGGACTGATTCAGACCCCAGGAACATGGGTTCCAGTGAGGAAACTTTGGAAATCTACCAGACCTGCTGTAGTAGTTCAGTACTTATCCCTAGCATAGGTGTGGACTTTGGGAGCCCATTCCACATAGAGGGATACTCCCTGAGCCAAGACACACGGGGGTGGGCCTAGGTCCTATCCCAAAGGATATGATAGACTCTAATAACACCCTATGGAAGGCCTCATCATTCAGGGGGAGCAGAAAGGATATATAATAGGTGGGGTTTTAGTTGGGGGGGTGGTAGGGGAGGACGGGAGGGAGAAGGGAACTGGGATTGTCATGTAAAACCATCTTGTTTCTAATTCAAATAAAAAAATCTGCAAAAAAAAGAAAGAAGTGATAATGGAGTGAATATGATCAAAATAATCCTATATATGTATGAAAATTTCATAGTTAAATCCATTTTATATATAATTTATGCTAATAAAAACACTTTAATTTAAAAATCCAATATATAAAATCAGGTCTTACATGATGACTAAGTCAGAGAATCATTATTCATATGATCAAATGACTGTTTATTTCATGGAAGATGACCATAGGGTTCCTTTAAATAGCTGCTTTTCTCTCACATTTTGGTACTTTAATTATAGTTTACTTTGTGACCTCTTAGGTCAAACCACTGAAATTCTCTACATAAAGATGGTTGGCTCCACAAAGTTGTCCTCCAACCTCTACACATATGCCACAACACAGGTGCCCATTCACACTCATCATGTACATGCATGCACACACACACAAATTAATAATAATAATTGTTAATTATATACACCTCTTTCTTGGTTTGTTGAGACAGGATTTCTCTGTGTAACAGCTCTGGGTGTCCTGGAACTTGCTTTGTAGATCAGGCTAATGTCAAACTCACAGAGACCCACCTGCCTCTGCCTCTGCCTCTGCCTCCTGAGTGCTGGGATTAAAGGTGTGCGCCACTAACACCTGACTTACATACACCTATTGACATTATGATACATATATGATACACATATAATCCCATCACTAAGGAGGATGAGGCAAGGGGGTCATGGGCTAAAGGCCACTCTGATCTACATAGACCCTATTTCAAATATATAAAATATGTATGTATTGATATTGCAGTTAGTGCCAAAAAAAAAAGAATCTGAGGGAAAACTTTCAGAATTATATTATTAATATCTGGTTGGGTTTTTTTGGGTTTGGTTTTGTTTTGTTTTGTTTTGTTTTTTTGTTTTTGTTTTTGTTTTTGTTTTGTTTTTTTGGTTTTTCGAGACAGGGTTTCTCTGTGTAGCTTTGGAACCTATCATGGCACTCGCTCTGTAGACCAGGCTGGCCTCAAACTCACAGAGATCCGCCTGCCTCTGACTCCCGAGTGCTGGGATTAAAGGTGTGCACCACCAATGCCAGGCCAGAATTATATTATTAATATCAAATACATATTTTTATATCTTAATACCAGCTTATTTGGAGGGACTAATACAAGGTCTCCATGTGTAGACCTGACAGGAATTGACCTCACAGAGATCTATTTGCCTGCCTTTGCTTTCTGAGTGCTGGGATTAAAGTTGTGCCCCACCCCACCCAGATAATATAGCTTAAATAAAGGATGATGTTAGATCATGTATCCATTCATATCTAGAACCAAATCTGCCCTTGGCCCATTGCTGTTCCCACAATTTTAAATTCTGCTAAAACACAGTTATTGTGCATTGCAACACCCACAGTGTTCGTACCTGGATTATCAAAGGCTCCAGCAGCTTCTCCACAGTGACAGTCTGGACCTGCAGATCCTGGATGTCCATATTCAGGGAGATTGGTGTTTCTGCTGACATGGTGCCTGCACAAGGACACATACCAAAAAAAAAATGCTTATCAGTGAGGAGAAATCTTTCCAAAGTAGAGGGTTCCTGACAATCATGGAGTAAGTGAGCCTTCTATTTGGCACGTCTTTTCAGTCCTCCAAGGCTCAGGGTGCCAAATCCACCAATGGAGAAGCAACAGACTCCCAAGTTGTTCTCTGTTCTCATGCTGCCTGGGCTTAGCTCTAATGAATGCCAGTAGGTTCATAATGGACTTTCAAACTCATTTGGGTCAGCAGTCTTAATTGAAAGCTATTGCCGACCTCTTGACACATATAACAGTAAGCAAGCCATGTGATGTTCGTGAACTCATGATGGTCAGGGACTTTGTATGCTTGCCCATTCTTGCCAAGACTTAGAAGAGAAGCCAGAAGATGTAGTGCATGTCCATGTGTTTCCAAGGTTGCTTATTTGAGAGTTTTGATTATAAAAGGAGTTTGGGACAATTTTCTTTCGTATATAAAAAAGAAACTAATAAGAATTTGAATAACTATTAGAGAAAAAAGGAGGAGCCCATGGAAAAGCATTGATATTTGGACAGTATGTAGTGGTTTGAATGAGAAATGCCCCCCATAACCTCAGACATTTGAACACTTGCCCCCATCCCCCAGTTGTTGCCACTGTTTGAGAAGGTTTAGGAAGTGTGACCTTGCTGGAGGAGGTCACTAAGGGCTAGCTTTGAGAGCTGAAGGCCTCACTGTACTGCCAGTTTGTTCTTTCTGCTTTGTGGTTGAAGGAATGAGTTCTCAACTTTCTGCTCCTACTGCCATGCTATAGCTTGATGCCATGTTCCCTACCATGATGGACTCTTAAAGCTGTGGAACCATAAGCCCAAATAAACTCTTCCTTCTATGAACAACTATGGTCATAATGTTTTATCATAGTAATAGAAAAATAACTAGGCCACAAGATAAAATGAGAATGATAATTAGTAAGCTAGGCATGGTGGGACAAGCTTTTAATCCCAGCACTCAGGAAAGAGAGGGAAATATATCTCTGTGAGTTCAAGGTCAGCCTGGTCTACATACCACTCACAATGATACATTAAATAATTTAAAATAAGGGAAGAGTAAAAGTGAAAAACACAGACACTGACCTCTGACCACTAAACATACCTACACATGACCACTTCCACCATACACACACACACACACACACACACACACACACACACACACACACACACGAACTAATCATTGAGATTTTTATATAAGAAACCATATACTCTTTTTATAAGTTTTTCAAGACAGGGTTTCTCTTTGTAGCCTTGGCCATCCTAAAGCTCATTTTGTAAATCACACAGGCCTTAAAGTCACAGAGATCCATCTGCCTCTGCCTCTGCCTCTGCCTCTGCCTCCAAAGTGCTGAGATTAAAGGTGTGCACCACCACCACCTGGCTAAGAAACCACATATTCTTAAATACATAATCATGATTGGTACGTCATAACGTATTGAAAATGACACTGAAACTAACATATCAGTCCTGAAGACTATTAGCTGCTAGATCCACAAATCTGTATTAACCTTCACCCTGTCAGGCATCACTCAGGAAGTATTTTTTTTCAGGATCCACATTACTCCATAGGACCTGGGTTCAGTCCCCAGCAACCACATGGCAGCTCACAACCATCTGTAACTCCAAACCCAGGGGATCTGACCTCTCTGCTGACCCCTGTGAGCACCTCAACACACCTGGTGCACAGACACACTCAGGCATGCATGCAAACACATAAAATGAAATATTTTTAAAATAAAAAATCTTATAACCCACAGAAATATGACTCTATCAATAGACAACCTTTCCACTTTGTGTCTACCCCCTCCCAGTTTCCCACAGCTTCAGGCTTAGTGAACTAACTGCCCCCCCCAAAAAAAGAACACCCTAACAATCCCTCTGAAACCAAGAAAACTGAGGGAGAAAAAAATAGAAAGTATGATGATTGCTCTAATTTTTCTGGCTAGTAGTTTTAACTCTAAGGGCAAGTAATTATTATTTTTTAATTTACTAATTGTCTATAAATAGACAGGTAGCTAGGTGGACAAGTACAGATTTACATCAATCTTCTCATGGCTCTTCCTAATCTCAATAATCCTAAGTGACTGAGTTATTCTTTTTCTAAGAAATGCATCAGAACTGTAAGGTAGAGTCCATGTGCCTGCCCACACCTCCAGTGAAAGTCTCCTCCCATTTACCCCCAGACTTTTCCCTTACCCCAGCCTAGTTCCATAAAACCAGCACCAGTTTGCTTGTCAGTCTCTCCCACACTTCTGGGTCCATCCTGTGGATCCATAAATGTGCTGTTGTATACTCAAAGATATTCATTACTGATGGGGAATGTACTTCTGTGTATGTTCATCTTATTGATTGTTGAATAAAGTACTGTTTGGCCAATGAGGCAGCAAGTTAGACAGGACTAGGAGTCAAGGAGGATTCTGGAAAATGTAGTAAAGAAGTGGTGATCCAGGCAGGAAGTGACATAGCAGAGAGATTCATATTTAAGCAAGGACAAGCAGGAAGTGATCCCTTTACCCCTTCATTCTTCCTCCTGCTCTCTGCTCAGAGCCACTATGTGATCTCAGGGATGAGGATGCCACAGGAAGGCACCCAATAAGATAAGTCTTAAAAATATATAGATTTATGATAATTAAGACTGAACTAGCAGATGAGAAATCCCAGTCATTGACCAAGAAGCATTTGTACCTAATATAAGTCTTTGTGCATTAATTGGGGCCTAACTTGGCAGGCAGAACTCAGGCAGGTGGTGGAAAGATTTATCATAACACATTACCTCTATGTTTCTGTGTATAAGTGGAAAGATCAACATTTCACTAAGACTGCCATCTAAGCTGTGAACCTGATACAGAGAGAGGCAGAGAAACATCCTATAAATAAGAATCACTGGACTTTGGGAGCCCATTCCATGTGGAGGGATGCTCTCTCAGCCTGGACACACGGGGGGAGAGCCTAGGCCCTGCCTCAGATGATATGACAGATTTTGGGGATCCCCATGGAGGGACTCACCCTTCCTGGGGAGCGAAGGGGGGATGGAGTAGGGGGTTGGTGAGAGGCAGGGGAGGAGGGGAGGGAGAGGGAGCTGGAATTGACATGTGAAGCAGGCTTGTTTCTAATTTAAATTTTAAAAAAAGAATCACATATGTTGGCTCTTGCCTTTATATTATGATTTTTACATTAATAATAATATTTGTTTAAATGAAAATAGAAGCAAATGCTGTAGAGTCCAGAAGTCAGAAGCCTTATTGGTCTTCAGATGTCACCCCACATGGTTACTCTCCATAATTTTCTTTTTTAAAAATTGTTTTTGAGAGAGAAGGTCTGGCTATGTGGCCCTGGCTTCCCTAGAACTCACTCTGTAGACAAGGCTGGCCTTGAACTCACAGAGATCCTCCTGCCTCTGCCTATCAAGTGCTGGGACTAAAGATGTGCCCACCACACACAGCTCTATAATTTTCTTAATATAAAACAAAATGTAAGCTAGAAAGACAGCAAGATAGTTCTGCAGGTGAAGGCCCATGCTGCCTGGGACCCAGGTGGAGGAAGAAGAGAACTGACTCTGACAGTAAGTTATCCTCTGACCTCCACATGCATATTGACAAATACATATATAAATACATGCACATAAATAAATTATAAACAAATCTGTAACGGCTATAAATCATAGCTTCTGTGGTCACCTGCACAAGATTGTGCTTATCAACATTTCATCATGGATGTTGGAAGGGCTCATAATGCCCCCACCCCTCCCTATTTGGCAATTAATCATTGCCAGGGACAGAGCATCATTTTCTTCAGTGATATAGCCACTCATGCATTGCCCGTGCTCCAGTAAATAACCTCCTATCCATGCTCATGCAAGCAATCCCCATTAAACTCAGTGGGTCACACACACACATAGACATGAAAGTAGCAGGGCAAAGAGGAGTGTCAGTGGTAGAGGAAGAATGGTGGGTGAGAGGTGTCAATGTAATGGAAAGGGTGAAAAATCACTGAGATTTTTATATGCATGTGTGAAACTGTCAAAGAGTTTTTAAATGCATACCTCAAGTGTTCTTGAGAATAACAGAAATTTTCTGAAAGGCTTTCCCCAGTGACTTAGCATCATATTCGTACATAATCTACATGTTGACATTCAAATGTGCTTATAATCAAATATTGTTATAATAATTCTGTTCTTTCATGTGTCTTCAATGAGGTTTACTATTAAAAACAAAGATAATTATACTGAAAGTCTCAAAGGAACCAATTATGACAAACTTAATAATTGATAAGAGCATTTAAGTATAACCATATGCTCTGAGGTTTTCTATACTATTAAAGGCACCAGTGCACACTGTTCACTTCATAGGCACTATCAAAACATTGTATAGTCAACACAAGAAACTAAAATGCACAGTCCAAGGTGGGAGGAAAAAGGACACTCTATAAATTGATGGGATGCCCTAGGGCTCATCTTGCCATTTTTAAAATAACTACAATATATTATGTATCATCCATTTATACTAAATGTTGACAGTTTTATATAAAACCCACCAGCACAGCTGATTGCAAAGATAGAGCAAATTTTCTGAAATATAGCACTTTTCTAGATAGTTCTCTTATTGAACCTAATCCAAACAGCCCCCTTGGGGCTCCCTCCCCACTTCAAAGCAATCAAGTGTGCCCTTGTTCTAGGTCTATGCTGAACTCCATCACAAGTCACTGACAAGGGTTACTATCACTTTGCTTTTTGTTTTTGTTTGGTTTTGGTTTTGAGACAGGGTCTCACCCAGTCAATAACTCAGATTAGCCTAGAACTCACTATATAGCTGGCTTCAACCCTCCGGCCTCAGCCTCCCAAGTTCTAGGATTACAATCATGAGCCACCATGCCTGGACATCCTTTACTTTTTTTTTTTACTTTTTTATTTTTTTTCTTTTTTGAGACAGGGTTTCTCTGTGCAAGCTTGGTTGTCCTG